GCTGATTCTAGTTTTTAATTAGAGTTGAAATGTGATTTTATGTGAGAACTTTTTATTGTAGTATAAAAGTTAGATGTGATTGTTTGTGAGAGCTTTTTACTGTAGCAAAACTCGAATTCTAAACTCGAATCAGCGAAATGAACGAAGCTTAAAACTCGTCAGAGTAGTGATGATCGTCAAGGTTCAAGTCAAAACTGAAAATTGAGGGGGGAAAAAAGGTCTAAACTGAAAAAAAACAAAAGGGCATTAAACTAAACATAAAAAAGTCAAGGAAAGAAGGGAAAAAAAGGATGGATTAAAAAAGAACCAAAAGTTTCCGCGATACTCACGCCCCGCGATTACTATATTGCCCTTATCTATTACGTGAGCGCACGCACAAATAAACTTAACAACCTATTATACAAACAAGTTAATAGTGTATATTTAGGTTTCGCTGATTTGAGTTAAGATGTGACTTTATGTGAAATTTTTTTACTGTAGTAAAAAAGTTAATGTGTCTGTTTCTGAGAGTTTTTTAGTATAACAAAATTCTAATTCTAAACTCAAATCTGTAAAATGAACGGAGCCTTAGTAAATTTATTATAATAGTGTATATTCAAAGCAATATAAATAAAAAAAAAAACAACATATACAAACATAAAAATTAATCTTCTAAAGGTAAAAAGATTAATAGATTTCTAAATTACATACCTTAAAGTTACAGCATCATATCGCTTGCTTTCGTTCTATGGCCAACAACTCGAAGGAAAGGAAAGGGATCGGCTGACCGCGTGCAAACTTGAGTTTAAATTCAAATTCAAACTTAAATTTTATAAATTAATATAAATTTAAATAAAATTATAATTCAAATTTAAATTTTTTCTCAGTTTTATTACAAAAAGCAACCCCGTAATTGTTAAGACAATTCCTGAATAAATTTAAATTTTTTTTCAGTTTTATTACAAAAAGCAACCCCGTAATTGTTAAGACAATTCCTGAATTGTCGTTTTTTACGTATACGATTTATTTTACAATTTCTTTTCGTACGAATTGATGGGTCCATAGTCCCCACACGTTAACACAGTAAACCTGCAAAGCCCGAGGTACACATCATACAATGGGAATCCGGATATATCGTGCCTGGAATTAATTGGTATATTCACATTTTGGCTGTCCAAAACCTTATAAAACCATTTTGGTTCATTTTTCATTGATGAAGTTGCATTTATATACATGAATTTCAGACTACAAAAGTCAAATTCCCTAATCTAGGTGATCTCTTGACTCAAGAATTTTCCTCAAATCAAGACCTTTACAGAGATTGAAAATCTAAACTAGGAAACAAATAAGATAAATACAGAAAATACAAAATTACAATTATGTACAATCTCCAATAGTTTCCACCGGTACTTTTCACATATCTCAGAAGCAAAACTCTGTTCGTTTTTGCTTGCTTTCCATATATTCCCCCCTATACATGGTTATTACACAAGTGATAAGCAAACCCCATGTTATTTTTTAGTAGTACTATATCGAGAAAGGCATGTATTTTCTGCTTATCACCTTCTAGGTTCTGTTTTTCTTTGTTTTCTAATTTTATTGATGATTGTTTCCGTTCATTTTCTTGCAGTAAATTGCTAACTATTCCCAGGAAAAGTTTGGATTAAGAAAAGTCACCAGAATCCTGTATATGGCTCACGTGTTAGAAGCAAGCTCTGGACATCATCCAGTTCTAGACGACCTTGAGTCTCAGCAAACTGCAGTGTTGGTCACTGTTAATTATAAAGGAAGAAAATTTTGGCGTCAGTTATATATGATTCTCAAAGTTCGTAAGATCTTTTTCTCAATCAGACTAGTCAAAGCCAAGGGAAACCAAGGACTCATCTCCTCTTCAGCTCTCACTTATGGTGCCTTGCCCAGTACTACTGCTGCTTATGACGTGGTAAGTAATATATATTTGTTTCTTTCTCTGTGTTGTTTCTCCTCCATGCATGAACCCTATATATATACATAATACAGATATGTGTGTGGGTGTGTTATATTGAAGAATCTATAACATGTATATATATATATATATATGTGTCTATAGATTTTAATGATTACGTTTCCATCGATAGTTACTATCAAATATAAAAATTTACGGTTAAAACAACAATATTATCGATAAGTAAATAATGAAGTAACCATCAAAGCCACACCCAACACCTGAACAAGTAATTGTAGGCTGGAGCTAGTGAACCATGCACAGAACTTGATGAGAAGATTAAACAAGATCGATCACTAGATGCATGATTTTTTTTTCCCTAATTCGTATCTATTTTCAGATAACATGTATATTAATTACTGGATTCAGATAATATGTGTATTAATTAGTGGACTATGCCTAATACGTGTATGTCAAATTTTCTCTTTATAAAATAATACTTATGTTTCATGATCAATATTGGTTCCCGAACTGATCGCATCAAGTTATTGGTAAGCACTTCCGGTTATACGGGATAGTAGAAAGAATGAATACTAATTAAACTATTGTTTTCGAAAGAAAGGATTATTATAGTTAAAATAATCTTTTTAATTAATTTTGGAATTTAAGATTTAAAAGAGAAAACAACTCCTATATCTTTTTTCCCATTTTTAGTTAGTTGTCCTTCTCATCAAACCAATACCCCGAATCGAGAAACATAATAGTGAGGAAGAAGAAATGGCGTTTCGATCCGGACACAATTAATTGTGTAGTTTTGGACATGAAGATCTGCTTGGAGACATTGTTTAACGTTGATAGGATATATATATATATATATATATATATAATATGTATTTTATCCCTTTCGGTCAACATTGACGTTGTTGTGCTAATTACTTTTCTCCTAATATTAAAACGGTAGTCAACATATATATATATATATACATAATTTTTTTTTTCAATGAAAAAGTTTGTTAATAAAGAGAATGAGGAAAAAAAAACTTTTTTTTGGAATAAAATAAATGACTGTTTTTTTTTAATAAAGTAGTAAAATAACCGGAGTTTATATGGATTGTTATTATAAAATCATATTCTTTATTATAAGGAGCATATAAATAGATCGAGTTTTTTTTTATATATTCTTTTTTATATTTTTTTCCTTCTTTCTCATATTATTCTTATGAAATTATGTTCTTTATTATAAGGACTCTATCAATAGATTGGATTTTTCTTCGTCTTTATTTTGCATGGTCATCTTTTTCATATGGATTATTATGATAAAGTTCTAATCTTTAGGACAATGACTGTATTCGCATATTGTGTACTTTAACTAATGCTTATATATACGGTGTTTATTTAATAATTATAATAAATCTTATATTACTTATGATAATACTTATATTCATATTTTGGTGAACATATTTAGTATATTCTTTTTTTTTATTTTTCATTGATATCATAAAATTTTTATTCTTTAAAATAATGCCTATTTTCTATAATTTATAAATCTTTATCATAATTATACTATCATTATGGTAATGCATATTCTCATTATCATTATAGTAATGCATATTTCTCGTGTTTATACATATACTGAAATTTATAAATTTTTATTATGATCATATTATCATTATGGTAATGATGGTTGATGTATATGATTTTGTGCATATCATTTGTTTACTCCTAACTTAATATGTTGTTCGTTTTATGAATTTTTATGTGTTTTTAGGAATTTTTCACTTGTTTTATGATGGTTGATGCGGTGATTTCATTTTTTTTTAGGAATTATTTATGCATATTCGTTTTTATTTTTTTTTATTGCAATAGTTCCTCACCTTTTAATTACCTGCAAAACATAAAACATATCAAACAATTATTATCACTTTTTTTTTTCCAAAAGAAGAAACATATCTAACAATTGTTATTTCTTGATTGATTTCATTTAGGAATCAGAGGAGATAGAAAGCACAGAACTTCCAATCCCAGCACCTCAAGTTTCACAAGATGATGCTCGTTTGGACATAGTGGGTGACACTACTAATGGTGATGCAGAACTCCAACGCGCCAACATTGCCAACATAGTAAGGACCAAAAACTTGGACTCCTTAAAGGATTTTGGAGGCATCAACGGAATCGCACAGGCTCTCAACACCGATTTAGAGAACGGAATCCCCGGCGACGAAAATGATCTATATTACCGAAGAGTTAAAGGAACTCCACTAGTCTCTATTCCACAAGCAACGGAAGCTCCTGCCCCGGGCTTTTTCGGCTTTCTTGGACGGCACTGCAATGACTGCACCATTCTTCTTCTATTTTTTGCTGCGGTGCTTTACACCGGATTCGGAATCAAGAAAGACGGCCCGAAGACTGGCTGGTACCAAGGGGTGATCATAGTCCTTGTCATTATCATACTTGTGGCTGCTCCAACAATACGTGACCTATGGCTTAAACATTCACGCAGGAAAAAAGTGGCCAAAGATTTGCGAGAGCAATATGAGGTTGATGTGTTTAGAGGAAGATGCCTACAAAAAGTGTCCATATCTGAGATTGCGTTAGGCGAGGTGGTGCGCTTGAGCGAAGGATCTCTAATCCCTGCTGATGGGTTGTTTATTGGTGGCGATTTTCTTGTGGTGCATGATGGTTTGGAGACTTCCATTGATGAAGAATCTCCATTTCTCTTTCATGGCTCAAAGGTGAGTCATGGAAGTGGACGTATGCTAGTTACTTCTGTGGGAACCAACACCGAGTTGGGTGAGGCGATGAGTAAAGTGGCCGCTTGTACTCCTGAGGGGATAACGTTACCAGCTCAACTTGACAAGTTGAGGAAGATCACGCAGATTGCCGGGCTCTCAATCTCGATTCTCATTGTTTTAGTGTTGTTACTCAGCCTAATGCTCGGCAGATCAAGTCGCGTGGCCAAGCCGGATCTCCCAGAGCTCAAGAGCAAACCGTCTGCAAGCGTGGAGATCATGGATATCATAGAGAGAGTTGTCAAGAATCCGAGTGAAAAGGCCAGCAGTTTCATAAAGGCTCCACTTGCCATAGTTCTAGTGGGAGTTCTTGAAGGAATCCCTTTTTTGATCACGCTAGCCGCAATTTATTGGAGAAAGAAGATGTTGTCTGGCAGGGCCTATGCTCCTGGACTGTTGGATTGTGTCAAGATGGGCTCGGCCACAACCATTTGCACTGACACGACTCCATTGAATTCGGTGGATGTCGACATGTGCTTCGTTGGTGATGAAGTCATCAAAACGGGCTTCATTGATGTGATGGCTGAACCCCTTCGAGAAGCTTTTTGTGATGGTATTAGTACCCCACTTGTTATGCCGTCGAGTCCATGCAGGGTAACAGAAGATCCTCTCGTTCCATGGGCTGCATCAAATGTAAAGATGAATCTTGACATTTTGAGGCAGAATCGCAGAATTGTGAAGATAAAAGGATTGAGCTCGAATGAAGAAGGAAGTGGAGTGTTGTTGAAGAAGAATATTGGTAATGGGAGAGAAATCTTGTGTTCGCATTGGAAAGGGCCTGCGGCAACAATATTGGCCAAGTGTTCAAGCTACTACGACAGAAATGGGGATATAAACGTTTTGAATGAAGAAAAAAGAACGCTTTTTGAGAGAAATATTGAGCAGATGCGACGTGAAGGTCTCAAAACCGTCAATTTAGCTTGCAAGCAAAGTGACAATCAAATGCTGGAAGAAGAAAATTTGATCTTGATAGGAATGCTAGGCCTGAATAAGCACAAATGTTGTGTGGAGACAAAAGAAGCACTTAAAGCTTTTCAAGATGCTGGAGTAAAAATCAAATTGGTTTCAGAACGTGACTTGTTAGAGCTTCAAGACATAGCGAGTGTCTGTGGAATTGTTCCCACTGGCGGATTAATCGTGAAAGGCGAGGACTTCAGAAACTACGATGAAGAAGAGAGGATGGATAAAGTAGACAAAATCTATGTGATGGGTAATGCTCTTCCTTCTGACAGGCTACTTCTATTGCAATGCTTGAAAAAGAAAGGCGCCGCGGTGGTGGCACTTGGGACCAGTACGAAGGAGTCCCCCGTGCTAAAAGAAGCTGATCTCGGGATCGTAATGGGGACTTGGAGCAGCGAAATGGCTGGAGAGAGCTCTGACATCATTGTTTATGATGGAAGCTTGAGTTCCTTGCTGACCATCATAAGCTGCGGAAGATGTACTTACCACAACATTCAAAAGTACATCCAACTCGAGCTCGTCACCAACATAGCAGGCACATTGATCGCGTCTATAATCACACTTTCGTTGGGAGACACACCGATCACAGGCATTCATCTGATTTGGGCAAATCTTATTGTGACAGTCCTAGCGGGGCCTGCTCTACTGCTGGAGCCACCGAAGAAAGAGCTGATGCACAAGTCTCCAATGAGGCAAAATGAGCCCCTAATTTCAAAGCCCATGTGGAGAAATATAGTCATTCAGTCTACTTATCAAACCACCATTTTGGTCATCTTCCATTTTAAAGGGCAAGCTGTGATGGGCATCACCAAAAAGGTCAATAAATCCATGATCTTCAACAGCTTTGTTCTGTGCCAAGTGTTTAACCAAGTGAACTCAAGAGAGATAGAGAAAATGAATGTGCTTAAAGGGATTCTTCAAAATCCATGGTTTGGAGTGGCTGGTGTAATCATAGTAATATTACAGGTGGGTTTCACTGAGGTCGCTTATATTCTGGTGGACAATGCAAGGTTGAGTTTGGTGCAGTGGAGTGTGTGTTTTTTAATAGGAATCGGTTCTTGTCTTGTGGATTTAGCTGCAAAGTGTGGTTTCGAGTTTGTCAAGAATTGGAAATTCTGTTCCCATGTTGGATCATCGGCCACCATGACACACTCCTCCTCCTCAGACTCGGTTTCCAATCTAGAGCTTCGTTTGATTACTACTTCAAATTCCACATCAATGTCTTCCTAATTCTCAGGTTTTGCTCATTTGTACTCTTTAGAAACAGTCATCTATAATATCTAAGTTAAGGTTAGTAACAAAAAAAACAAAAAACGTCCGGGCACAAACTAGGTCACGTTCGCTTCACGGATTTAAGTTTTCAATTCGAACTGAGATGCGATGTAAAAATTCAAAACTGAAAACTCGAATGGTGAAATGAACGGGGGCTGTGTTAGCTCACTTGTTTATACTACAAAATTCCTTTGAATTTCCTCACATTTGGCTTAACTACTTTAAATTATATTTCAACATCAGTTGCTTCTTAATTTCTTCTTGTTTTTTATTCTTTAGAATATGCATATTATTGCAAATCTTTAACTGCACTATATTGCATATCTTCTATGAAAAACTCAAAATTCTAACTAAGGAATGGTATGCAGAAATATTATAGAGTCGTGTGATTCGAACAAACTGAGATAAGCAAGTCTAATTTTAGTCAGAATAACTACAATTTTAACCGGATAGTAAAGACATAAGCTTTTTATTTATTTTTATTTTTCTGGGAAGACTATAGACATGTAAAAATTGGATCTGAAATTCTGAATAAATCTTACCTGATCAGGTATTGAAAAAAGTTGCTGAGGCATCATCCATTGGTGCGATGGTGAAGAAAAGAGAGTGGCGGAGGCAGAGCCTTTGTGACTTGAACTTGAAGGTTGACCTCTCTCTAGTCAACTGAAGAAGCGGATAAATCAGTGTAGCATTTAAAAATTAAAAAAAAAAAAAAAAAAACGTCGTGTACCACTTGCCTCCTCGTAAGATATTTATCTCCCACTATTTCTTGCTACTATTACATCACATGTCCCATTGTAGCTATGCCACGATATTTGGGGCGTGTATTTGGGATTTGTTTAGAGTTCGTTCTAAAATAATTTTATTTTTTATATGAAAATAAAAATAAAAATATTTTTAATTTTAGACATAAATTATTTTTAAAAATGTGTTTGGTAGTTTGTTTTCAGTGTTAAAAAATTCATTAATGTCTGTCTTTCTCTCTCTGCTGGAGAGAGGAGAAAACGAAAATAAAAAATGAAAAATGACTAAAAGTCGTTTTTCATTTTTCTTTCATTTTACACTAAATTAAAAAATCGTTTTCATTTCCATTTTTTGTCTTTATTGCGCCAAACGCCGTTTCAAAAACGTTTTTATTTTTTCTTTCTTGAAAAACATAAAAAATAAAAACGGGATTAATTCCAAACACGATCTTTGTTTCTTATTTTCTTGATCTGTCCTTGTCCCTATGCAGGCAAGCAGAAAAAAAAAAAAGGAAGAAGAAACATCTTTTATTTGACAAGTAATCTTTTAGATTAACCTTTTTGTTTTGGCTAAAGTGCTTGAAACATTTAAAACGCCGAGTACTTTTTTTTTAAAGTAAAATTTGTTCATCTTTTAATCTAAATGATAAAATTTAATATAACAATTATCGTTCTTAGAGTTTTGTTGTTTGAAAGATTCATGTGTTCTTTTTGCAGAAGCAATCTTTGAGGTTACTAAGGTGTCTCGAGTTCATGTCGTTTTCAGAGAATGTTATCTAATGGAGTATAATAATATTGTCGTTTACTGGAATTGGTAACTGTCATTTGCTCCCTCAATGTCCGTTCAGAGTAAGATGTCGTTCGTCTGAAGTAGGCTTTTCTCTAATCAATGTCGTTCGTCGTAGTTATTCTTGTCTCTCCCTTACATGTCGTTTCTAGGTATTAATGTAGAGTTTATGTACATATTCAGTTATTCTTGTCTCTCCCTTACATGTCGTTTCTAGGTATTAATGTAGAGTTTATGTACATATTCTTCGCAGATTCGAGTTTTCAATTTGAACTGAGATTTGACATTTTCTGAGAGCTTTTCACTGTAGCAGAAAAAATTAGATGTGACATTTTCTGAGAGCTTTTTATTGTTGAAATTTAAAACTGAAAACTCGAATCGGTGAAATGAACGAGGCCTCAGTTATTCACCTTCAAGTATCATCATATAAGTATAGCTAGCGAAGAGGGTTCACAGCGTCGAACAAGTGTTTGTTGTAAATAATTTATATACACAGCTAATTTACTTCCCAAAAAGAAAGAAAAAGGAAAATGCATTTTGTTCAACTAATTTTCCATGGAGAGAGAAGTTGAAAGTTGGCACTAGGCAGGCTACGTTTTATTATTGATTTATAAAACAATCAGAAAAGTGGCTTGTAAAGTGCGTGCATGCTGACATGGCAGCAAGATATAGGAGATATACGGTATTATGACATATTATATACGGACTCACATTTTTTGTCTAATTTTAATATCATAATTAGTATTTAATCAATCATATTATGTTATGTCGTATAAGAAATTTAAACCCCTTTTTAACTAATTCTTTTGTAATTATCATGTAATGATGTAGTATGATTTGATTTGCTAGATGTCAATTAAAGCACAAAAAATTAAACAAATAAGAAGTCATCAAACTACATCAGAAAACTTGAGAAATTTTGCTTGGCAACTTTACATGATAAAATATAACAAACTGCGACCCAAAAAACACATTCTAACGAAGAAAATTCAATGTTACACTATATGAGGGCAATTTTGTAGTTAATTTACTGCGATTTTCTCCACTTGGTAGCCCTACATGAAATTGCACACCCTAAAAGTTGTTTAAAGCTAGTATAAGCAGAAAACGACATGTAACCTCGATCGGTTACCTTGATTAAAAAGAGAATTTGATCCCATCAGCCCAAAACATTTAAGGACATGACAAGCTGACATTCTATAAACAAACGACAACAATGCAGGAAACGACACTAACTAAAAAGAGAGATCTCTTCAGCCAAAAAGTGGAAGCATATTAATTGGGCAAACGACATAGAACAAGACAGACATTTTCCAAATAAACGACAGTCATGAACCACCCAAGAAAATGACGTAAATTGTAAAAAGAACACAAAGAAAGAAAAAAATCAGTAACAACAACAAACAATAGATAATGCGTAATCTCTACGAGGGAGATGGCGAGAGAGATATGCATCGTAAAACGACATATAATGCAAAAAAATCACGCGTGAACGAAAACGACAATAAACTAATAAAAGGAAATAAATTGCAAAGACGACACACCATCGTCAGTCGTCACAAATACAATACTAGAATGACCATAAACTACAAAAGAGAGATGCATTGTTCAATGTTGTGTGTTTTTTAGGCCTCGTTTATTTCACCGATTTAAGTTTAGAATTCGAGTTTTGCTACAGTAAAAAACTCTAAAAAACAATCACATCTAACTTTTTTGTTACAGTAAAAAATTCTCACATAAAGTCACATCTCAACTCGAATTAAAAACTTGAATCATCAAACTAAACGGGGTGAGAGCTTTTAACTGTAGTAAAAAAAGTTAAATGTGACTTTATGTAAAAGCTTTTAACTGTAACAAAATTGAAATTGAAAACTCAAATTGATGAAATGAACCGGACTTTAAAATGCTATGGAGGCTTATTATTGCAGATTTTGCTATATCTGATTGGATGAGTTTTCCACAAAGATTTTTTTTTTTAAGTCTCTTGACTAGACACCGTTTCTCTGATGAATTGTTAAGCGTAATGAAGTTGGCTCATGGTGCTGACGGGTGGGGTGGCGACAGTGATTTCAAATGGGGCCTTTGTTGGTTTTATTACCATTTTGTTATGATTTGCGTTTTTTTGCTGATTATAGATTTAATTTTTCATGTAATTTTTCTGTTAATTTGGTTATTTTGATTGTATTTAGGAATCTAGTTTTTTTTTTTTTTTTTTTTTTTTTTTTTTTTTTTTTAATCTTTTTTTTTTTTTTTTTTTTTTTTTTCTTCTTGCACTAACCCTCTTTTTTTTTTTTTTTTCATTTTGGTCCCCTTTGAGATTTTATATTCATATTTTATATACTTTTAGTAATAACATGATGATTACAACTTAACATATAAATTACTCTCTGTGCGTGGAGTTCTACTAGTAGGGAAAAAAAGATAAAAAAAAAAAAGAATTAGAAAAAGTAAAAACAAAAAAAGAAAAAAAAAGAGAGTTGAACAAACTTGTTCACAGAGAATGGTGGATGGAAAAAAGGCAATTCGAATTACAACTTTATTTGAGTTCATATTCTTTTAAGTTTAAACTCGAGTTTAAACTCGAGTTCAAACTCGAGTTTAGGACTAAAACTCGAATTCAAGTTTCTCCTTCAACTCGAGTTCAGAAACTCAAACTCAAATTAATAAATAATATTTTTTCTATGCTTAAAAATGTTAATAACTTTTTTCATTTTAATTCTGATTGAGATGATTTTTTTTTCTATGCGTTGACAACGAAAAGACGAATAAAACCCGACCCATATACCCTATTAAAATTTTTTATCAGCGTTGAGTTTTTATTAAAATACTATCTAAATACAAATTTAAGTTTTGACTCACTCAAATACAAACTCAAAAAGATTTTTATCCCAAACCATAACTTAAATGTACATAACCAAATACAAATTCAAATTGTAAGTTCAACTCAAGTTATAATTTAAATTCAACTCAAGAATTATATTTAAATTAAATTCTAAACGAGTAAGCCCTAAAACTTTATTTGGACCGGACCGAGAAGACCCGAACACCCTTATTTTAAATTTTTTTAAAAATATTTTAAGCTGTTTGGGCTTTAAGATCGGGCTGAATGTTTTAAAAACATTTTGGCGGTGAGTTGATTATGCAAAAGGGTTAAACACGTGTGTAGCAATCGGTTCTCTAGAATCGCTCTCCAGTTCTCATACAGAAAACCGCCTCGTAAACAAAGTTACTGAAGTGGTTATCTTCTCTATTCATCAGGAACTATTGTTTCATTAAATAGCAAAATTAAAAATGTCAAAAAAATAGAAAATAAGAATTAAATTAATAATCTAAAACTAATTAAAATAACATTCCGTTTGACCCGTTTGGTTTTAGATTTTAACATAAACTCAAATTTACGGGCCCGTTTAGTTAGTTGATTCGAGTTGATATGTGACTTTATCTGAGAATTTTTTACTGTATTAAAAAAATTAGATGTGATTGTTTCTGAGAACTCTTTACTATAACAAAACTCAAATTCTAAATTCGAATAAGTGAAATGAACGTGGCCTTTTAACTCTTTTAAATAGGAACATAAGCTAGTGTTAACCTTTTTAATTGTTAATTTTTTTCTAAGGCTGAGATCATAGGGATATGCCAATGCCCAAGGCAAATGGATATGATTGAAAACTTTACAAATGCACGCCTAACCCAAGCCTCCAAGCCTCTCTC